AATTAAGTCCTACATTTATTTACTGAAAACGTAATCATTTTAAGATCAAGGCCATTATGATTCACACAAATGTTTGAGAGTTTATGTGGAGGATGATCACTAGTTTGTCAGTCTTGTTTTAGATGCACTTTATGCACATAATTCACAAGCAATGAATGTCTCATAACATACTGGAATATGTGACATTAAAACTGCATATACCACTGTGCAAATTTGCTCTGTTTCAAAATACTGCAGCTTGTTTTGCACATTGAGTTCAAAGATTTTACATCTTATCGCTGTCATTTTATTTGCTGTTCAAAGCACATTCATTACCACTCAGTTCCTGCATTTCCAATTTGTGCTCATTTAGCACATTAAAAATACCAATAAACATGAATAAATTGACTGAATTATTATTTGTAGAACACTTACCAAATACAGTCTCTTGCCTCTTCCCTGGAAACTACCTTCCAGTGGGGTCCAGGAAGTGGGGTCTTGGGTGAGGTGAGTGAAGCACTTGCCTGCTGAGCATAATATAAAGGAAAGCCAAAAAGCCTAATAATCAAGATAAAAAATATTTTTAGTGCAATATTTTAAAATCAAAATTAATGCCAAAAAATCCCATGATGAAAAAAATATCAAAATTTTAAATAAAGACAATTGATTTCTGCTACCCCGTGAGAGGAACCAAGTTCTGTATCTATCCCTGTTGGAGGGTCTCTTGTGCTTCCTTTGTGGTATTTACCAAAGTCTCCTGATACAGTTTGGGCATCCCTCAATTGGCACCTACCTCAGGAAGTTCTGTTTAGCCCGTCAGTGTTTTTTGTTCATTTTGTTGTTTTGTTTTAGTTCAGGGGTCCTCAAACTTTATAAACAGGGGGCCAGTTCACTGTCCCTCAGGGGCCAGACTCCGGGCTCTGGGACGAGTCAGCTGCTAAGCAGGACAGACAGTGGTGGCAAAAACACCCAGCGGGCTGGATAAATGTCCTAGGCAGGCTGCATGTGGCCTGCGGGCTGTAGTTTGAGGATGTCTGTTTTAGTTGCTAACATCTACAACTCAAGACTTCAGTCAAAACTTCAGCCTCTCAGGGAACATTGGCACACCTGGCCAACCTGGGCCTAAATCCTAGTAGGTGGGAGAAGCTTAGCAGTTGCCATATACCTTCACTGGACACACTCCAGTCTGGCCCAGAATCTACACTGGGTCCAGCTCAATCCTCTGCTTTAACCAACAGCAGTCAACCACTAAACCCACAGTCTTTACTTGATTCAGAAAAGGGAACCCCTGATTCTCACACTTTACAATGGAGAGTTGTCCTAAAATCAGTGCACAAAGGGGCAGTTCTGTGAGGTCAATGGCAGCCTCAAGAGTGGTCTGACACCGCTCTGTGCAATGTGCAATCTGAGCATGCTGTGGCCCTGTTTGCACAGTCCCCATGAGCTTTAGCTTGCTATGGTGTGTTTAGGCTTTTATAAGACACAGGCAGAGTAGTTGGCTGGTCTGGAATCTAAGCAGCTGCTGGCTTCAGCCCTATGAAAATGCCTGAGGAGAGGAAGTGTAACAGGTGTTTGCTTGGTTTGGGTAAGATTGGAAAAATGTGTACGAATTAATATCCCGATTAAATTTCACACTGTTATAACAATTTCAGCAATCTTCTTATTTTTGAAGGTAGTGAAACAATTCTTCTTTGGACTAGTTCAGTCAGGAGCATGGTGTTGTTTTGATGAATTCAATCGAATTGATATGGAAGTTCTCTCTGTCATTGCCTCACAGATCCTAACAATTAAGGCTGCGAAAGACAGCTATTCTGTCAGGTATTTGTTGAATGCGTTTATACTTTTTGAGTGGAAATCTGATACACATTTACTGTTTAGTAAGTTGTTAAATGTTTTTAACAATAAAGATTTGAGATGTGGGGAGTTTTTCTGAAAACATGTACCAAAATGACTGGCATTTATCTTGAGTGTTTTCTTTACTTGGCAAATTATGTGAAAATAGATTTAACTCTAACTTTCAGGTCAAGTTCAAGGCAACAGGTATCCAAACCCTTGCCCAAGCGTTTGAACAGTCTCCTGAACTGCCAGGACACTGATGGAAATATGTTCTAATTACTTTTTTTTTCAGCTTAAATTCTCTTATTGCCTTTTTATCTTAGGATATTGCATTTGAAACAACCAAACAAAAGTTGCCTTTTTTTTTCTTTAATTCTGCATCCTTTTAAAAAAGGAAATTATACTGGCCCTATACTTGAAACTCTTGTCTCATACTCTGAATTAATGAGCTTTTATTAAAAAATTCTATATTAACAATATTTGTTTAGATTACTAGTGTTGTGTGATACAAGCAAAAATTTTTTCTCAGCAGATAAATTTGGAATTCACATGATTTACTTACATGCATAAATGAATTAGTGGGTTTAAAATTTGTATTATAATCTAATACAGTAGAACCTCCATGGTTAACCACTTCCCTACACTTCCATAAATTGACCTAATTTACATAGATCACGTACCATCAGTGTAGTTCCTTATGTTGACCACCTCCATATGTTGACCAGTTTGGTACAGTCTCCTGGTTGGTCAACTTACAGAGGTTCTACGGTATTTCTAACTTAAGCTAATGGACACTAACTTGTGACTATACTCTCATGGATTTTGTTGAAACTGTTAAAACTAGTGTTACCAGGCCTCTTATGTCTATGGATGTAGCTGGAGGTCTCAGTAAGTCACATTTCAGCTAGTCTTTGCCTCTGCAAAGTCTTCCCCTTTATGTCCAAGGAGTCCTCAGATTTTGTCCCAATTGCTTTGCCATTTTGACCAGTCTGTTTGATATCAACTGTCCAAGAAGTCACTATAGGATTTTTCCCCATTGTGTCTACCACGGGTGTTGACTAGGATACTGATGTCCATGCCAAGGACTCTATTTCACAGTGGTACCACAGTTTTTTAACTTGGTGCAGAGAGACTTGGGAGTTAGGCTGTGTTCCATGATGAAGTAGGAACTCTGCTGTGTCCCACCTGTATTCTACTGTGTCTTACAGGCAGAGCTCTTTTATACCCTAAGGGTCTCCTCAGGTTCCTTTTCCTGTGTAAGTCAACTCATTCAGATGGGTATCTTCTAGCCCCAGGTCCCATAAAGCTCTTCAGACAAATTTATACACAATCAAGTATGTCTGAATCTCAGCAGAGGTCAAAACTTTGGCTCAAGATGAACCTCTTCTTTTTCTCTTACCTTTTTTTTTTTTTCTGATATGCTTTGGGTTTAAACATAACACAGCTTTAAAAAAAAGTTCCCTAACTCACTAATATATTTGAGACTAGAAGAAACAGTTCCAGTGCTGAATGCCATATTGTCTTATAGGTTTGTTCTGGAAGGAAAAGAAGTTCGTATTAATTTGTCTTGTGCAATATTTATCACCATGAATCCTGGGTAAGTATTAATGAGTCTGACGGGAGAGGACACAGACCAAACTCCTTTTCTTAAATCTTATTTATAGCTGGGGTTGTCTGGCACTGTATGTCTGTCATTCCTGCTCAACCAACCCTTCCACTACCCACATTATTTATGAACAGCCACAACTTTATAGCTGTTCATATGGATAATCTCACCAAGACACATTTTTACTTCATGAATATTCAAAGAGAATTAGTTTTTCACAAAGAGGACACAGGCAGAAAAGCTGATGACAGTGGCAAGAGGAATAAGAATATGGTGGTTATAAGGAATGGCTGTTGGGCAAGTTCAATAAATCTCTGAATGAACGTTACAATAACCCAGGGAATCAGAGGGAACTGTTGTGAGGTGAATCATGGGAAGAGGCACCAGAAGAAAATATGATAAACCAAGAAGCACCATGAGATCAAATGTACAATAAAAAAACTATCTTTCTTGTCAGATGATGGTCACACAGAAAGCAATAGAATTATTTGGGAGAAAAGTATATTATGTGGTTCTTCATTTAAAAAACTGAAAAGTGTTTTCCTTTTCTTTTCTTCTCCAGGCATAGAGGCCGAGTAGAGCTTCCAGATAACTTAAAATCTCTCTTTCGTCCCGTGGCAATGATGGTGCCCCATTATCAAATGGTTGCTGAAGTAATACTGTTTTCATTTGGTTTCAAATCTGCAAAACCACTCTCTGGAAGGCTAGCTAACCTTTATGAATTAGCCAGCAAACAGCTGTCACAACAGGTAAAGAACTGCTTTTCTCCAAATGTTTAAAAGTGGTTATATAAAAATAACTTTAAAAAAGACTTTTCTGGTATTGGTCCAGGAATGACCTGAGACCTTACCAAGTACTGGAGCTAGGATTCCTATCAACAAATGAAGTCTATGCATGAGATTAAGTTTAAGGCAAAATGTAAAATCAGTCAAGAATCCAAGTTTTTTCTCCACAATCTGGGGAGTAATCAAGCATCTGCAATTTTAAATTATAGACTTCTTTCTCCAGAAAAGGAGGTTAATATCTAGAACTGTTGTTCTCAAACATCACTGTACATCAAAATAATTTAGAGGACTTGTTAAAACACAGAGTATTGGGCCTTGCCCTAAGTTTTTAATTCTGTGTGTCTGTACGGGACCTGAGAATTTTCATTTCTATCATGTTCTCAAGTGTTATTGATGCTACTGATCTGAGTACCACACTTTGACAATAATTGTTCTAGGATCTACAAGATTAATGAATATTTGTTTCTTAAACTTTCTTTTAAGGAAGACTTTTATGAGTATCAATTTGGAAGAGAAATAAAAGCATTAAAAGCAGAGCCTAGGGGTTCTTGGATTCATAACACTGTTTCCTCTCGTAGAATAAGTGACCAGTAATTTTGGTATATACTGTATACATTTATTTTCAAATTTATCCATTTTTCCTTTATGAATTTTAATAACTCAAATATTTTAATGTTTGATAGGATCATTATGATTTTGGCTTGAGGTCCCTGAAGACAGTTTTAGTAATGGCTGGAAAGAAGAAACGAGAGTTTAAATGGTCAGTTGCATTTCGAATTGAGTGTTAGGTAAAAGAGAGTTATAGAACATAGGAGAAATAATTTGTAGAATTTTAAGTAATGATGACAAGTTAAAATATGGCGCCCCCAGAGCGTCAAAGTAAAATGTTAGAGGTTATCTAAGGGTATGAACAAGGAGGGAAAAAATGCATAAAATCACTGAGTACTTTCCCTAATACAGCCTATGCTTTTCAAAAAAAAAGTTCTTTACATTTACATGCTAAAAGATATGATGGAATAAAATACTCTATTAGGAAGCTAATGCAATAAGTTAATGAGAAATGTCAAACCTATATGGACATATCTATGTGAGAAACGAGTAAAAGCCATATGAGGAAAACTTTAACACAGGACTGAAGGAAATGAAATGTGAATAAATGAAATAACACACCACATTTATAATATCATAACATCTTTTTTAAAATTTCAGAAGACTCAGGGGGTAAGAAGTAGAATTCTGTTAGATATATATTATATAGTGGTCTGAGCTTCTAGTGTACCCATCACCCAAATAGTGTACATTGTACCCCATAAGTAATTTCTGATCCCTCATGCCTTCCCACAGGACCCCCTTAAATTCTCCAGTGTCTATCATCATACACTCTGCCTTTCTTTGCATTGCCATAGCTTAGTCCCCACTTAAAGTGAGAACATACAGCATTTATTTTTTGTTCCTGAATTACTTCACTTAGGATTGTAGCCTTCAGTCCTCCATCCAATTTGCTGCAAAAGAAATTATTTCATTCTGTTTTATGGCTGAATAGTATTTCATGGTATCTGTACATACCACATTCTATACCACTAGTATTCCATGGAATGTGTATATACCACTAATCAGTTGATAGGCAGTCAGGTTGATTCCAAAAAAACAGCACACTGTACCCCATGATTGCATTAATGTACACAGCTATGATTTAATAAAAAAAGAAGAGAGAGAGAGAATTGTGCTTCAATAAGCATATGAGTGCAGGTGTCTTTTTGACATAGTGATTTCTTTTCCTTTGGATAGATACCTAGTAGTGGGATCGCAAGAACAAAAGGTAGATCTACCTTTAAGTGCTTTGAGAAATCTTCATAGACATTGCATTAATTTACATTCCCACCAAGAGTGGAAAAGCCTTCCTTTTTCATTGTTTACACACCAACATCTATTTTTTTTACTTTTAATAATGGCTATTCTAATTGGAATAAAATATTTCATTGTGGTTTGAATTTGCATTTCCCTGCAATGATAATTAATGATGTTGAGCATTTTTTTCATGTATTTTTTAGCCATTTGTCTATGTTCTTTTGAAAAAATGCCTATTCATGCCATTTTTCCACTTTTTGATGTGTTGTTTTTTACCTGCTGAGTTGTTTGTGCTCCTTGTAGATTCTGGATATTAGTCATTTGTCAGACATATGAAATGGAAATATTTCATATATCCCAGTTTGGAAATATTTTACCCCATTCTGTAAGTTATCTATTTACTATTTTATTTCTTTTGCTATGCAGAAACTTTTTAGTTTGTCTATTTTTGTTTATATTTTATTTGTTATGAGTGTTTTAGTAATAAATTCCTTGGGTAGGCCTATGTCCAAAAGAATTTTTCCTAGATTTTCCTCTAGGATTTTTATTGTTTCAGGTCTTACATTTAAATTAATTAAACTTGAGTTAATTTTTGTATATGATGAGAAATGAAGATCCAATTTCATCCTTTGCATATGTCTCTTCAGTCTCCCCAGCACCATTTACTGATCAGTTGATTTAGATGTATGGTTTTATTTTTGGATTAGTTTTTCTGTTCCATTGACCTATGTTTCTACTTGTAGAATTATTTGAAGGTAGGTAATGTGATGCCTCCACTTTTGTTCTTTTTGCTTAGGATTGCTTGGCTATTTGGGCTATTTATTGATTCTATATGAATTTTAGAATTTTTTCCTAATTCTGTTAAAAATTATGTTGGTATTTGATAGGAATTGCATTGAATCTGTAGATTGCTTTGGGTAGTATGGTCATTTGAATAATATTAATTATTTTGATCATTAATATGTGTTTTCTATTTGTGTGAATCATCTAATTTCTATAATCAGTGATTTGTAGTTCTTGTAGAGCTCTTTAATCCCCTTGATTAAATTTATTCTAAGGTTTTCCTTCCTTTTTTTTTTTTTTTTTTCCTTACAGCTATTGTAAATGGGAATGAGTTCTTGGTTTGGTACTCAGCTTGGTCATTATCAATATGTATAAAAATGGAATTGATTTTCATACATTGATTTTAATAACCTAAGACTTTAGTGAATTCATTTACCAGTCTTTTGGTGAGTCCTTGGGCTTTCTAGGTATATGATCATATCATCAGCAAACAGAGATGTCGGAGGTCCCTTTTTGGTTGCCACTCATTAGGACCCGGGACTGGCCAGGTCTCTGGCCCCCTGCTTATCTAGGTTCTAGATGGCAGACTGCTATGCTGTTATCTCACTCAGCAACAATTGCTCTTAGGTGCCTGAGGGCTATCTGCCCCAGCAGAAGAAAGAGAGAGAGGGAGTAAAGCAGTCTTAGAAAAATAGATCTTAGCAGTAGCAGTCTCTAGCAGAGCTTAGTAAGCTTCAGCAGAGAGATGCTGTGCTGGTGTTCTGCAGGCAGGAGAAGCTACGAAGTCAGAGTAAGTGAGTCCATGATAGAATGTGCACTCTCCCGACTACCTTCTCCTCCAGCCTAATATAGACCTGATCTTATGACTCTTAACACTACAGGTGCAGAGACTGCCAATTCACTAATGCTCTCATTTCACAAGCTCTCATGCTTGTTAAGAGAGCTAAATCCCTCCCCATGCCCTTTTCACCAAGGTGTTCCATTATTGAGCTATACAGGTGTTTCTTGTAACTCTCACTCCTCCTTGCCATAGGCTATACAGGCTGCTACACAGAGATAATTTGATTTCTTTTTTTCCAATTTGGATGTCCTTTATTTCTTTGTCTTGCCTGATTGCTCTGGCTAGGACTTGTGGTAAGTACTATTTTGAATAGACATGGGGAAAGTGGGCATTTATATCTGTTCCAGTTCTTAGGGGGAATGCTTTCAACTTTTCCCTGTTCAATATGGTGTTGGCTATAGGTTTGTCATATAGGCTTTTATTGTTTCTTATATTTGCAAGTTTTTATCATGAAGAGATGCTCTTTTTTAATTCTTTATTAAATCATAACTGTGTACATTAATGCATTTATGGGGAACAGTGTGCTGATTTGATATACAATGTGGAATGCTTACATCTAAGTGATTAACATAACTGTCTCCTTACTTATTTGTTGTGGCAAAAACATTCATCTTCTATTTTTAATAGTATAGAAATGTCTCATTGCATTATGCACATTAGGTTGGGTCCCCCCAAAAACCCTTCCTCCTCCCAGCTTCCCCTTCCCCTCCTCTCTCTTTCCTCTTTCCTCCTTCTTTCTGGACTATAGTTATGTTTACCATTCCTTTTCTACATTTATTGAGATGATCATATGTTTTTTTGCTTTCAATTTTATTTATGTGGTTAATCACATTTACTGACTTGTGTCATCCTTGCATCCCTAGGATCAAACCCACTTGATTGTGGTGTATTATCTTTTCCACCTGCCATTGGATTTAGTTTGCTAGTTTCTTGAGGTAATCTGGGATATTGGTCTGTAGTTTTCTCTCTTGTTGAATCCTTTCATGGCTTTGGCGTCAGGGTAATACCAGCATTGTAGAATGATTAAGGAGGATCCCTTCCTTCACAATCTTTTGGAACTGTTTCAGTAGAATTGGTATCTGTTCTTCTTTGAAAGGCTGATAGAATTCAGGTGAATCCATCTGATCCTGAGCTTTAGGTGGTTAGCAGATTTTTTTATTACTGAGTCAATCTCACTAGTGTTACTAGTCATTATTGGTCTCTTCAGGGTCTCTTTTCCTTCTTGGTTAAGAACTGGAAGGTTATGTGTTTCCAGGAATTTATCCATTTCCTCCACATTTTCTAGTTTGGAGGCATACAGATGTTCATAGTATTCTTTTTTATCATTATTAGATCATAACTGTGTACATTACTGCATTTATGGGGTACAATGTGCTAATTTGTGTGTAATTTGGAATGTTTACATCAAACTGGTCAACATGTCATTCACCTCACTAATTGTTATGTTTAGACATTCTTAAATGATCTTTTGTATGTCTGTGGTATCTATGATAATGACTCTTTTTTTTTTTTTGCAGTTTTGGCTGGGGCCGGGCTTGAACCCAACACCCCCAGTATATGGGGCCAGCACCCTACTCCTTGAGCCACAGGTGCCACCCAGTAATGGCTCCTTTTACATTTATGATTGAGTTTATTTAAATTCTCTCTCTTCTTTTCTTGATTAGCCCTGCTATCCATCTATCTTCTTTTTATCTTTCTAAAAACAATTTTTCATTTCACTGATCTTTTGTATTTTTTGTTTCAATTTGAACAGATTTGTGGAAACGTTTTTAAATCCATTCTTCAATCCATATATTTTAAGTGGAACATTTAGCTCATTTATATATTACAGTTAATATTGAAATGTGAGATACTGCTTCATCATCATGCTGATTATTACTTGGTTGCTCTGTAGTCTCAGTTGTGTTACCATTAAAAAACCCCGTGAGCTTCACACGTACCCTTATAGGAATGTAGAATATAAATGTCCTAACACAATTAAAAAAAAAAACCCATGAGTTTCATATTTCTGACTTATTTTTATACTGATGTCTTTCAACATTTGGAACTCCTTTGAACATTTCTTTTAGGAGTGGTCTAGTGGTGACAAATTCCATTTGCCTCTAGGAAAACCTTTACTTCTTATACTTTTATGAAACTTAGTTTTACAGATACACAATTCTACATGATTCTGTTTAAGGCGGCTAGAAATAGGACCCAAATCCCTTCTGGCTTTTAAGGTCTCTGCTGAGAAGTCTGCTGTTGGTTTGATGGGATTTCCTTTATAAGTTATTTGGCACTTTTGTCTC